TGAACACTTCAATAGGTCGCCCACAGAGGCTGTAGTCTCCATCCATGGAGATATTCAAAACCCAACTGGACACTGTCCTGGGCAGCCTGCTCCAGCTGACCTTGATTGAGCAGGGGGCTCGGACTAGATGATCTTGAGAGCTTCCTTCCAACATCAGTGATTCTGCAATGGGCAACCTGATCCTCCATGCATGTTTCCCATGATAGCTGGGGAGCCTTTATTCAACCTCACTTGGGCCCAGCTGAACAATAGCTTTCTGTCTCCAGAAGCATTTGTTTTCAGCTGGAGAACTTTTTATTAAATTAAACTGTTAGATCTGCTAAATGCAACTCCATACTACACCTACAGATCAGTATCACCAAACACTGTATTCTTCAACAGTTTAATATAAAAGCTTTCTGATATTATCTCTTCCTCCTCTGCCATTCACTCATTTCACTGCTTTTTGGAAGGGGATAATGTACACATAAGGAACAGTGATTTGCTTCTGCACTCCTTAAATTTAGAAGCTTTGAGTTCATTCCCTGACAAGTATACTTTGCCACCTGGAAAGAAAAAATCAGAAGCACCACAGTTGCACAAATATGATGAGAACAATGAAAAGTTACAGTTGTTCAGCATTTAGAATTCAAGTCTATTTTTGCCTAGTTACACAGGAATTTCATAAAACTATCATCCCACTCAATATTATAAGAACAACAAAGGTGGGGGCAGGGGTGTGTAATTTTTTGATTTCTAACATTTGAATATTCAATACCACTTCTAGGTAGTGATTTCAACCTTAGAGTCTAGCCACGTTTTCATAGTAGGCATTTTATAACATTTAATCAGAAGAGAAACAAACATCATTGATTCTAGTTGTAGGTATTTTCTACCAGTGCAGCTCATACAGCTGAGGAATCATTTAATGTTTGAACCAACAGCTCCTTTACTCATTCCACCTGACCATTGGAACAGAACAAGAAATTTTAAGTGTCAGTAGGAAACTTCCAAGAAACCCACTAAGGTTCCACTTGTAGCAACTGAAGATACCATTGGGTAGAAAAATTTACATATGTTAGGGAAGCACACATCACTGTAAAAAAAAAAAAACAAGACAAAACAAAAAACCCAACAAACACCAAAACAAAAAACACCACCACCCCACTTCCCTTTTCCTAAGGTGTTTAAGAAATTGATCCCACTCCTTTCAAGCAATCTTTCAGATGCAACCCACTCTCCTAACTGCTTCAGAAGCAACCTGTGAACTGTAGATGTAACCACCACAAGTGATGCGACCAATAGGAAACAGGAATATATTCCAGAATGTAAACAAATAGCAAATGTGGACAGAAGGCATCAATTATTTTTGATCATTTCAGACCATCGCTTGAGCCCCAGCCTGAGCTGATAATGTTCTTCAAGGTCTGAGCTAGATCTCAAACCCAATTTATAAGCATCCTTTAAAACGTTTTTTACTATTATGTGTTTCTGATTTCTATTTCACCTCATTTCCAAACTAGACATATGACCAAAGTAAATAAATATTAAAAAGGGAACTTAACTGAAACAGAGATTCAACTTACTTGTAGATGACTAGCAATGAAAGCCCAATCATCTGTACCATTTTGTTCCACCAGCTTCTTTAGCCTTTCATCCTGTTAAGACATAACCTCAGCCAATAAATGCTACGTGCTATCCCAATAAGACACTATAATAATAACATTTCACATGCTACCAATATCATATAGGAATGAAACTAAAGCCAGAAAAAAGTATTACCTCATCACGTGTCCATTTCACCCTGTTACATATCTTCTTCAAACCTTTTTGCTGTGGTACTTCATAGTCATGATCCACATATTGAAGGTCGTCATCTTCCTCACTGCAGAGTACGACAGAAGAGTGAAGAAGTTTAAAATAACTCCAAATAACTTTTTTTTTAACTACTTGTAGCTTTTTTCCAATCTGTACATATTGTTCTAAAACGACATATGGAATTTGCATGAACATAAGATCTGCCTCCAGGAGTGGCCTATATTCACCATGTCGAAGGAAAATAATTAATTTTAATTTCAAGGCCACATACTGGGATACAGACAGATAATTCATTCCAAGTCAAGACTTAAATTTGAAGCAAAAGCTATTATTTAAGATCATGTTTTTGTAACACATTTATGAATCTTTATTTTACACAAATAAGCTTATAAGATAAACTGGTTTGCTAGTCTGCAAGATACATTCATGTTCCACCTCCATAACTCAAACAACACACACAACAAGGGTGCCAAATAATTTAGTGTCAACTTGAGATTTTAAGTGGGCTCCTGCCTTCAATAAAAGTTTTGCCTCAATGTTACAGGAATTAGATACAAATCTTTGAAGACAGAAATATTCCAGCAAGAAATAACTACCGTATCAGTGCTGACCCTCTAAGTTAAGAGTCAGAGGGGCAGGAAGCCAGGTAACCTCTGTGACTCCATGTAGATCACACTCCATCTACTGGAGAAATGCCTACTTCACAGCCTTGATAAACAAAGCCTTACAAACAAGCAGCACAGGGAAGTGTTTCATGGAAATATGACTTAAACTTATATGTCAGTGACTCACGTTAGACAGCATAAATTCAAACACATTTGGAAACCTAGGCCTAACAACAAGATGAGCAGTTCCTCTGCATTAGTTATAGCAAAGACACAAAGAAGGGACTCCCATCCAAATACACAGCTTTAATTAAAAGCAGTTTCACACTGCAATCTTCGTTTTTCTCCATTTTATATATCAGCACGATATAAATATCATAAATTCGTGTTCAAAACTAAATTTATTAGTTCTGCTCAGCCTTGAAAATTACTTGAATTTTTCAACCAAAGGTAAAAAAAAAATCCTTTCCCAGTAATGGGATTAGCCTGTGCTGGTGTTCTAAGAACTGATTAGATGGCAGATCTCTACATTATTTTCCAGAACATGCAACTCACTCACACAGCATGCTGATCAACCGTTTATGTATATTTGTTATTTCCCATGAAGTATGTTCTCAAGTGACCATATACTCATGTTAGCCACAGAGAAGAGCACTACTTACTTGAAAGCATTACTACAAGATAGTATGTACCCAGCTCTTGCAGACCCAGTGTATTTAACATTGCTTCTACATCCTACACCACATCTGGATTTGCCCTACTTAGCTTCATAATGCAGTAGAAATAGTAACACGTAAACATACTAAAACTTCGCAGAGCCAGTGAAATACAAAGCAGTAAGCTTGTTGAAAGGTCAACAGCAAGTACTTCCACAAGTTCTCGACAAATGTCAGGAGTGTATCTTGGTATTATAAGGAGCAAATCTTGGTATTATAATCTTATTTCATACCAAGCAAGCCATACAATTTATTTGTAACTAAAATTTGGCCTTGCGGTTAAGCTGCTTGTCAACACAATCTCCTTACCCACTGCACAGCAAACTAGTTCAAGAACAGAGTCTTCAGTTACGTGAAAAGTCGTGAAGAGGAAGGGCTCCACGTACACGGCAGTGATGCTGACAAGACCGCCAGTACTAAACAACGTGGGGTCCCCGCCGGCAGCGGCAGTTAAGAACCCTGCACCTGGAGTTCTCCAGCGGCATGCCTGTCCCACAGCCAAACTGGCACAGCCACCGGCCACCTCCGTGCGCAAGGGCCAGATGAGCGGGCACTAAGCTCTCTTGCACCTTGATTCCACATGAATAACTGTTTAGTCTTTGGTCTTTCTTAGAATAATACACCAGTAGATTATAAATTAAATATGTATGAGTCGTTGGGACGTCTAACTTAAGCTTTCAATTAAAAAGAAGAGATTTTCAAACACGTGGGTTTGTTATAGTTCATTTGACAATTCTTTCACAGTTATGAAACTGTGCCACAATACTGCATGAGAATGGAACACGGCCACCAAATTTCATCAAATAAGAAATCTGGAACAATGAGGTATTTCATGAGTTCTCTGCTAGCTGTCTTTGCAATTCTGAGTTGAGAACCATTAAAGGAAAAAATGCAAAAACCAAGAGCAGTTTAACAAAATTAAACTTAATTCAACTTGGAGCAAAACAGTTATACTTTCTCCTTACTCCACAGCTAGATTAACAATCTTGAAATCACCTTTGTGTAAAGTCATAACTACAACGATTTAGTTTTGGAGATACCAGATATCATCATCACACACACTGACACAGTATTCTTCTAGGGCTACTGATCTCTAAGCAAACGTTCCTCTGCTATCCACAACCAGCTGTATTTTCAATGACATCAAAGCACTCCATAGCCATGAGAGATAATACAAGCTACAGCTTTGCAAAGACAAAACTATTGTTTGCAATACCGCAGATGAAAGTTTCTTAAAGTACAAAATGCAGATTAGGAGTAACAAGAAACATTCTCTCTCTGAGCTGATGCTTGCAGATAGCTAAGTATAGACAGCTTGAGCAGTTAGCCTCTGCAAGCAAAGCCCCTTAAGGAATCTTTGTTCTTCACACAACTAGAACCCCAAACCATTGCTTTCTTGGTTTAGTTACAGTTTTGCAGAAAAAGATTAACTTATGAATTTTTTTCACGTCAGAGGAAAATGCAGAAGCAGTTTTAATACCTGTAACTGTGAAACCACCCCCAATTCCATGAGAAGTATGCAGTCACGGTAAACCCTGATGCCATAGGTAACTCACGCATTAATATTAGTCACTGAGTATCCTTTCCTTTCTCAGTCCTAATCCTTCTTTTACATTTCTTTATCACTTTTCAGAAGGACAAGAATAATATAGCAAGAAAACAGTTCTCCAAGACCCACCTTCTGAACACAAAGCAAAGACACACCCATTTTCATATCAATAAAACAAAAGATGTATCAAAACCATCTGGGGCTGCTGCTGAAGCTCTTGAGGAAAACATTCTCTCTCAGGAAGATTTCAGGCTAGATACGACATCCTCAATCAAAGAACATGCCAAGTCAGAGAAAGTAGGTGCATTTAAGATATTGGAAGAATCAACAGGCCTGAACGTTAACTTTAACTGAACAGCCCCAAACCTTACATCAAGGCTGTGCCAAAGCCACCCGGGAGGAGAAAAGCAAGAAGTATTACTCGAGCAGAAGGAAAGTAACCAGCAGGAAAAGCTACTGCGGAGACAACGCAGCCGTTACTGACAGGCTCAGCGACCACGGAAAAGCTAAGGAGTTGCCTTGGTAAGCCACAACAAAGATGGTCTGAGCGAAAGCACAGAAGTGAGAGCAGCCTCTAAGTGAGAGGCGAGATTTATACCCAAGAGCTGGTGCTCGTAAGACAGAGGGAAGACAGATACCTGTGCGGGTGCCGGGCGAAGGAGGAATCAGAGGGCGGAGGTAGGGATGTGGGCAGTGACACCCGAGGCCGGGGAGGTGGAAGGAGGCCGAGAGCAGCGCCAGCACAGCTCGGCGGGGGGGGTGAGGGGCGGCAGGGACGGGGCGGGGCGGGACGGCGGCGGCACCTGGCAGAGATCCCGGG